CAGCCAGTGACGTTGGACAGAGCCGCAAGACCCAGAGGTAACGAGCATCCACCAGCAGTACCCATACCCCCCCTCCCCCCCACACGCCTCAGGCAGCGAATAGTGTAGGGACTTGCCTGAGCTTGCCCAAGCCCACTCAAAACTGGAACCACCACCCCCTTCTCCCGATCCAATCAGTGGTGGCAGCCCACCACTTTGTGACGAATAGCTGCATGGCAGAGAATGCGCTCCGGCATCTGATTGTGTCTGGAGGCGGGGGTGGCGGTCAGAGTTTTAAGTGAGCTTGGCCAGGCTCAGGCAAACTCAACCAAACTCATCACTTCTTACTAGCAGCAGCTCAACCATGTAGCAGGGAAATTCAGATATATCAAATCAGTCAGTGGCAATGTTGTAATACAATCACTGCAGAGGGGCTCAGATAGGATGATCAGATGTACTCATGCTCTTGTGACCTGGAACTGTCAAAACAGTAAAGCACACAGAAAGAATACTAATAATATATTAATAGCAAATATTTATTTACTTAAAAGTATGCACTCATAGGAATAGGCAGAAAATAGAATGTCCCACAGCCTGGAGAGAGTCTTGCCAGTGTCTGGCGTGGCCAGCAATCGGGCACGCGGTCAGTTGCTGCAGCGTTCTCCGGTTCAACTGAACTCGGCAATCCAGTGTGTCGGGATAGAAAAGGCAGTGTCCTAGTGGTAGTACACTCGCAGGTCTAGGGGCGTACACTTTTTGGGTAAGGTGACTAGTTGACAAATTTCGAGGATTCAGTCCTCTTTATCAAGTCACTCTCCAGATTAGCAGGCAGTAGTAACCCTTTTACAAGTGCATATTGGTGCGGGCTGCTGCTGCAATGCAGAAGGTATTTTGGCATGATTGGGACAGAATGCAACCCCGTTTATTATTATATGGATACTGATAAGTGAAGGGCATGCACATCTAAAGTGAGTCTGCAGATTATTTATTTGCTATAAATACTTTTGTCTTTAAAGACTGTGCAAATATTTTGATTAGACATCAGTTACGTAAGGATATCCCATAACACACCTGACTGATATGTCCCTTGTAATCTCCTTGGTGGGTACTGTAGCGACCGGCGGATGGTGCCACATGCATACAAAGTATAAAGTGAGTCACTAGCAATCCTCTATCTTCATCATGAAAACGCCTTTACTGACATGAAGCAATCATGGTTTCACAAAAAGAAGCAACATTTCTAAACCATGCAAGGTCCCTTTATCAGGCACATTGGTTGAGAAAGGGGCCCTGCGTGGGCCCAAAACATGCTGTCCATAGACTAACATGGGTCCAGTTCAGTTTTTTTCTTGAGATGGAGAAAAAAGTGTATGGACACGGATGTCACAAAAGGGATATCCATTCCATACTGCTCCATTGAGCAGGAGATCTGTGCACGGGTCACCTCTTGATCAGAACGGCACACTGCCCGTGTGAAAGGGGCCTACATATTTGCATATTAGAGCACCTCCACGGAGCTCTGTAAGATGATGGCATGCGTAGGTACTGGAGGTTTCCTGCATTTTATTCAAGCTGATACTTTACCAGTTATGTTGGATGAAAAGGGTCAGTTTATAGAATTTCTAAACCCAAAAGCAGTCCTTAGATGTTGAGCTACATTTTATTTGGTAAATCAATATCAGCCAGTGCAAACAATACTGTTAAGCCCTGGTTCACACCTAGGAGTATTTGAGCAGTTTAAAAGCGCTTTTAAATGCCCAACACAATAAATCCCATGATTTTCAATGGCTCTGGTTCACACCTGAGCAGAAAAACGCCAAATGCATGAAAAGGTACATGGGCTTCTTTGGGCAGATAAAAGTGCTTTCTTGCCCCATAGACTTAAATGGAAATGGCCAAAAACGCGCGACAGGAGCATGTTGCACATTTCGGTGAGCGTTTTTGCACGTTTATACACGCGTTCTTCCATTTCCCACAATGTTTTATGAGCTGCGCATTAAAACGCGCATATAAATGTGCACAACACGCATAAGCGCACAAATAACCGCGTGCTATTAACGTGCGTATGTACAAACATGCAAAAACGGTGCCGCCTAGGTGTGAACCAGGCCTAAATCATGTCAGAAATGCAGTTTCTATGTCACTTCCTGTGAGACAAAAAAAAAAAAAAGAAGCAAAGACAAGCTTACCTTGTATTGCTATAATTTTGATTGATCAAAGAAATTAACGATTAATCGACGGCACACCAGACAATATCTCACGGCACACTAGTGTGCCGCGGCACAGTGGTTGAAAAACGCTGGCTTAAACTACTAGTTCCATCAATCCAGCATGTAATGGAGATGAACAAAGGCAGACATGTATAAAGTCCAGCCTGTGTGACTACCATGGATTAACAATATAATGGAGAAATGATTGTAGATATGAAGGGACAAGAAATAGGTTATTTGCAGGATTGCCAGGTGAGAATAAAGGAAAAAAAGCCTGGAACGAGAAAACCAATGCCTCCACCTCTAATAAGGAATAATGTTTTGTTTCTGGGTTAGTTGCACTTATTACGATTTATAAATTCTTGTATTGGATCCCTAATCTTCCACCTGACAAAAACAACGTAGGTCAATGTTTTGGTATTGGGCAATGGCTGATTATTATCACTTGCATATATGCAACCAGCTTGGTGTGCCTTACTTTATGTATTCACCAGTAATTCTACAGTTACATTTAGAGTGGGTATTAACCTATATGTGACCTATTTAAATAGCATTTTATTAATTTTCCAGCATTGCCCGCACTGTACAGAAACATCAGAGGTTGCTCAGCGTTGTGGAGAGCATGGACAATGGCAAGCCTATTCGTGAGTCACGTGACTGCGATGTTCCCCTTGTGGTCCGTCACTTCTACCACCATGCCGGTTGGGCACAGCTTAGAGACACTGAAATGAATGGTTGGAAACCTTTGGGTATGCACAAACTTTATTGTGTGGTAGGCTTTGGTGAATTTCGAAAGATCAGGTTTCATATAAACATATCATCATTTTTTTTTTTTTTTTTTTAATTTCCTTTGCTGCTGTTGTTGCTGCTATTGTTCCCTGGAATTTTCCTTTGATGTTGCTCACCTGGAAAATATGTCCTGCATTAGCAATGGGTAAGATCACTAAATGAATAGCAGCATTTCAAACTAATGATTGCTGTAATAATGAACTGAGTAGCAGTGACAGTAAACTTTACCTGATGTTCCCTGTTTTGTTTGTTTTTTTGTGCTGTATTTTATTGTGCTATTCCATATACAGATGTCCCTATATTATTTTTATATGTGCCGGGCAGTGCACCATACATCCTTGTTAGCCTTTTACCATTTGAAATATGCTGATTTTTTTTGCATCTGTATCCCATTGGGGATATCCTTTTCTCTTCCTGTCCAATAGTAACAACAGGAAGTTAAAAAAAAAATTCCTCCAAAAGAGGGGAATCCCTGGTGGTTAGCAGGGTCACCAGAACTTGTGTCCCCGTTGGATAATTTCAAATCTATTCCTGTTCTGCCAACCCGAAAATTTAGGATTTTCTTTTACTTTCCCTTTCAGTGATAACTGTCACTAGTACAAATAGAGAGAGTGAATCTCACTAATGGGGACACAGACAGCAATAAACATCTGACAGGTGTTCTAATCCCTCTCCACTTCTCTTGGTTTCAGTTGTTATGTTATATATTGTTAAATATATTCAGGTATGCAACTTGGTCATAGAGATATTGTTAGGTTACGTAACACATGCGGACGCTGCTAAATTTGGGCTGGGCATCTAGACATTAATTACCTCTGGTCACAAAGGGGTTAAATAACCCTTTCATGGTGATCAATTTTCCAAACAGGCCACCTTGATTTAATGTTTTGTATTCACAAAAAGGCCTCGGATGGGAATAACCATGCATGTACAGTCTGGCAGATCATTCTACAAGAATTAATGTTTGTGTTGGCTGAAAATGTATGTTGGGCATATGCAGGAGAGAAGGTTATGTTATAGGAAAAGCAATAGCTAGCAACCAGGGAAATCTAACCCAGTCACTTCATCCCCAAGAATGCTGACCCTTGGAATGCCTTATAGAATCATAGAGGGTCTATAATCATTTGATAATTTCTCAATCTGACCATAACCAGGAAGATCAAAGCATTCTCTCAGACCTGTAAGCCACTCTAGTTAAATAAATAAAATAATGTTTGCGTTACTTTTTATCAGCCAATATCTTTTATGTTCCATTCCAGGTAATACTGTAGTTTTAAAGCCTGCAACATATACACGTTTGACTGCTCTTCTGCTGGCAGAGATTTGTTCTGAGGCAGGTCTGCCACCTGGAGTCTTCAATGTGGTCACTGGTAATGGTGCCTTTGGTGAAAATTTGGCTATTCATCCTGATGTGGATAAAGTAGCATTTACAGGCTCTACAGAGGTAAAAACCAAGTATCTAAATATTATGCAAATTCTATTTCCAAATAGCTAACAATAAGACTTTGGTTTATTGTAGTGTGATGAGTAAAAGATTCAATCTGATTGGTTGCTGTAGCTTACAGTTCATTGTTTGCCCTATCAAAAACACCAATATGAAAAAATCCAGTGTGTTCCTAACTTTCTGTTTGAGGTGATAACACAGTGCCAGTGCTGTACTGTAATCCCAAGCAGTACTGTCAGCCCTGCCTAGTACTTCTCTGATGGACTACAGAACACTTCCCCCTGTCCTAATCTTTATAACATGATGGAGTGGTGTGTTGAAGTCCTGCAGGAGTGAGAACACTGCATAGGATTTTGATGCAACAGAGGGAAAGTTGTCAGCTCAAACAGGAAGTAAGGAGACCAGTGGATTTTTGTCAGGATCAACGGCTATTTTATTTTCTGTACATTTTTTTTTAACTGATAAAACATGGGACATTTGCATATATTGCAGAGATATACTGACTTATTTTGCCCAGACACACACTTTTACACTGCAAAGGATAACTAGGGAAAAAACATATTTTTTTTACAGTGTGTATGGGCATCTATGGGTGTCTGCTTTTCAATCCTGCCTTTTACTTTAGAACTTTTCTGATAAGAGGATAGACACATATGTAACCAGAATGTTCGACTTTATTGGGTTTTTTATCAAAATTTTCCCCTAACCAGTAAAGGAGCTGGGCATACCTCCTACAGTAGCATGACATGCTAGCCAGTACTTTCTGTCAGTTTGGCAGCTGAGTTCCTGAACTGTCTAGTGAAGCGTCTGTTTACAGATCAGCACTGATTTTCAGAAGCAGGTTTTTCTGCATGATGCTTGATAAAATGTCAACAAGATTGATTACATTTTAGTTTACGACATTGATCCTCTGCAGGCCTTTGCCTCTTAAAGTGACCCTGTCGACATGGGTATGTACAGTACATACTCTTGTATGTACAACATACCTCCTAAAAGAAGATTACATATACTTAAAGTGACACTAAACTCAAGAGTTACATTTTTTCCCCCATTGACGTGGTGCGGGGTAGTATTCTTAGGCGGGTGTCAATGAAAATAATACGCCTCATGGGGTTGGGGGGGTAATATGCTGTATCATATGCCGCTAACACCCCTTTTTTTCCCCTGTGTATTTGGAATAGTGTATATATATGTCTGGTTGGGGAGGAAAGGTATGAAGCAAAGTCATTGGTATGGGGACACTCAATTGCTTGTATAAAGTATATGTATTAAATGTTTGTTTACTTTTTTTTGTTGTTGAAAATGAATAAAAGATCTTGAAAGAAAAAAAAAAGAGTTACATTTTAAAAATGCATTCATGTACCATAGCTATTATCAAAAATGTATTTTGTTTGTGATCACTTGGTTGTAGATTCTCAAATCATCTCTAAATTGGTGCTGACACTGGAGGGTGGCTACTTTTGTTCCCCATGGTCTCTGTGTGTGTTGTTAAGTAGCTACCACCCCAAGCTTGCTCCTGTGATGGACTACAATCTCATGTTTAGTTTACTAATTTGTATTGAGGTTGTGGTCTATCACAGGTGGGAGCTTGGAGTGGTGGCTACTCCACAACACACACAGGGACCATGGGGAACAAAGGTAGCCACCCTCCAGAAGGACAGTGTCAGTATGAATTCAGAGATGATTTGAGGATCTACAGCCAAGTGATCACAAATAAGGTACATTTTTATTAATATTTAGGGTACTTAAATTCATTTTGAAGGTTTAACTCCTGAGTTTACTGTCACTTTAACTTTCCCAGGACCTGTTCTAGAAAAACCACCACTTTACTGCTCTCCCTGCTGCTCATTGTATTTTTTCCTACCAACTCTTCGAAACAGTAACGCTGCCACTCCGATTGCTTGGATATTTACAGAGATATATACTACCTGTAGGCACTCTTTGAATAAAGATCTAATGTATGCCTGTTGAAATATGTTGAACAAATAAAACATTTATACTGTATATATTTATCTTTAGGCGTAGCAATTTAAAATGGCTACTCTTGTATTGCAGGTGGGACGCACTCTGCGTAAAGCAACAGCTGGCAGTGGAAAGAAGTTGTCCCTGGAGCTGGGTGGCAAGTCCCCCTTCCTTGTATTTGATACTGCAGATTTAGACAGCGCTGTGGAAGGAGTTGTAGATGCCATATGGTTTAATCAGGGACAGGTAAGCCAATGTATTTACACACATAGCTACGGTAATCTCAAGCTACCAAATGAAATTTTAGATGGGTACATTGTTTCCATATACATACATACATGTATTCCTAGGAGCACAATATCTTCCATTCACACCTTCCATCCACAGCCAGGAATCAAATACCGTCTAACCCAGGGACAATATGGGATGACGGGAGGCCTTCAGATCGTCTATAATATAATCCCATAATTATAATACAACAGCCAAACCAAGTTGCCAAAAAGCCCCCTTTTACTTACTTTACTTACTTAATAGGTATATAATACCCCTATAAGCACATACCCCATTTATTATGAGAGTTTTTGGTAACATGTAAATAACCGAAGTAATGGGAAATCTTTCAATCAAGAATGCTACAGTGCTCTTATCTGTTAATGCCTTTTTTTGCAGCCTCATTCACTGCATTCTCTATCAATTTACTTGTTTTTAATTTTTTTTTTAAATTGACAATTTTTATTGTATAAATCGCATATATAAAGTAAAAAAATTATAACAATATTTGAGGTATCAAAGACATGAGGCATATTACCAGAAATAACATCACGAATAATGTTGCATTTTCATTTGTAGGCTTATAACTCTTTCTTATAAAGCAATTTGTCCTTGTATTTCTTACTAATTTCTTTTAAGTATCATAGTTGCATCAACTTATTGCTTATAGTGTTCTGTTCTAGTATAGCTTATCTTTTTTAAGGTCTATATTCAACAAATACCTTCATACTTCGATACTTCAGCAGTTAAGTTAACATCCTTAAAACTCTGTATATATAGAGTAACAAGTAAAAGAAAAGAAAAGAAAGGAAAGTGTGTACAGTCTTCCTCCAGGACATCGTTCCAGGTGTTCACCACGAGCAACCTTTATCAGTGTTCCTCCTGTACCCCTATCCTTCTCATTCAGCTCTCCCGGGCCCTCCACCCTCCACGCTCCCCCTCTATCTATTCCTCCCCTACTTCTCTATTCGAATACTCCTCATAGACATCCCACGGTCTCTACACCGCTTTATGAGCTTCTACTGTGTTATTTAGCCGTGATGTCAGATATTCCATAACTTGTACATCTTTAATTCTGGTAAAAAGATCTAGTTTCGAGGGAGGAAGTTTTCGTTTCCATTGCAGCGGTATGAGACAGCGGGCTGCCGTGAGAATGTGTGTAATCAGTTTCCTGGTATTCTTTGAAAGGTCCGGGAAGGGTAAGCCTAACAAGTAGTGTATAGGTTGCGCTGAGAGTGTCTGTCCCACTATTTGTTCTAAGATGCGTTTGACTTCTCCCCAATACGCTTGGATTCACGGACAAGTCCAGAGTATGTGAAAAAGGGTGCCTCTTGTACCGTCACACCTCCAGCAATTTGGAGATATCTTTGGGTTAAGCGTATGAAGAAAGTCCGGTGTATGATACCAATGGTACATTATTTTGTACTGGTTTTCTCTATACACCGAACAAATTGAGGACTTTGCTGCCATCTTCCATATACGTTCCCATTGCTGCGGCGTTATTGTGGTTGCCAGGGCATTTTCCCATTTACGCATATATGGATGGTCCGTCTCTTCCTGCTCTGAGACCCCGTTGAGTATGCTATAGAGATAGGAGATCATGCCTCTAGAGGAGTGTGGTGCCAAACATTGCGTTTCGAATGAGGTGCGAGGGGGGAAGGTCAATGTTCTAGCTATTGACTGAGCAAAGTGTTTGATTTGCAGATATGAGTAGATAGCTCTCGGTGGGAGATCGTGTTCTCCCCTAAGTTGGTCAAAGGGCCGTATTCTGTTTGTGACCCTGTCCAGTAAGTCCCTAAGGTGAAACAGTCCTCTGGATCTCCACATCCCTATCCACTCCTTGGATACCCCTGCCCGCAGTTTAGGATTCATCAGAAAGGGAGTCAATGGGGATCGTGCCGTCGCCAAGCATTTGGATATCTTAACTTTATTCCATATTTCTAACGTGAGTCTGGTGGAGGACAGCAAAGTGCCCTTGGATATTTGCTCCGGGTTGGACCATAGCAATGCATTAGGGTGAACTGGTGCTAGCCATAGGCCTTCTATGGTCGCCCAACTCGTAGGGGGATTGAATTTTGATAACGCCGGCACTACTCTCAGTTGGGCCGCTTGATAATATGTATGGAAATGCGGTAGAGCCTGACCTCCCTTTGCCTTTGGCATATATAATATCTTTTGTATACTCGATGTCGCTTCGCCTCCCATAAGTAGTTCAGTACCTCCTTTTTGAAGAGATTTCAAATCTATAGTTGGTATTCTAATTGGCAGTGCAGCAAAATAATATAGTAGTTTCGGTAATAGTGTCATTTTAACCGAGGTCAGTCTACCCGTGAATGACAATCTCAAGGATTTCCATTTCTGTAGTAATAATCGTAGCGATTGGAACAATGGTTTGTAGTTAGTCGCATACAACGAGTGTATATTATTTGTAATAAAGATTCACAGGTATTTAATTTTGTCACTTTTCCAGCTAGAGGGGAATGTAGTTTGTAGTGAGAGCAGTTGGGTGGTAGGTATATTTAAGGGGAGTACTTCAGTTTTACCTAGGTTTAATTTATAGCCCGAAACCCTGGAGTAGCTATGTAATTCAGATAGTAATTTTGGTAATGACGTTAGTGAAAGAATGACATCATCAGCGAACAAAGCTATTTTAAAATGTTGCGTTCCCATCGGTATCCCCTTGATATCTGGTGACTTGCGAATCCGTGCCGCAAGGGGTTCTATACATAGCGCGTACAACAATGGGGATAACGGGCACCCCTGTCTGGTGCCTTTGCGTATTTGGAACGGTGCGGAAGTCGCCGTTCGCAATTTTATAGATGCTGAGGGTGTGGAGTATAATGCGTGGATCGCTCGAACAAAGGGACCTCTAATTCCCATACTGGACAGTGTCGCGTGTAGGAATGGCCAGCTAAGTCTATCGAAGGCTTTTTCAGCATCGAGACTGATCAGCAACACCTCCTGTTTTTCTTTGTTTATAATATCCACCAGATATTATCTCCTGCTTGGCGATTTAGTACAAAACCTACCTGATCATTATGTATGAGTGTGGGCAGTAGTTGGGCTAAGCGATTTGCTAATATTTTCGTAAATATTTTGAAATTGGAGTTAAGAAGGGCTATGGGTCTATAGTTTGCACATATCTCCCCATCTTTGTCTGGTTTGGGAAAAACCGTTATGTGGGAGGTCAGGAATGATGAGGGTATTACAGCACCATGTAGGAAGCTATTGAACATAGTTGTCATGTAAGGGAGAAGGGTGTCGATATACGTCTTGTAGTATAAGTAAGGGTATCCGTCCGGCCCCGGCGATTTACCTGTAGGTAGGGCTCGGATAACATTCCTGAGTTCATCATGAGTGATATCCGAGTTTAAGGCCTCCCGCGCTTCATTCGTAACCCTCGGCAGTTCACATTCTGCCAAGTAGTTCTGGACGCGAGTAGTCAGTTGCTTATCTATCGGATTGAATGCCATGTCTGATAGATTATAAAGATTGGTATAGTAATCACTAAATACTTTAGCTATAACGTCAGGGTGATGTTGTAGGGTGCCTCCCGAGTCTCTAATTGCCGTCAATCCCTTACCATTAGCCTCCTCCTTTAACTTTCGAGCCAATAGAGTGTGTGCCTTATCTCCCCTTTCATAATATCGTTGCCTTAAATGGGTCATTGACATTTCGACTTTATGCGTCAACAAGTGCCTCAGGCACGTTCTAGTTTGGACCAGTTCACGTAAAAGTGATTTGGATGGTGTCACTGCTAGGCTTCGTTCCAGTCTGATTATCTCCCTCTTCAAACAGACAGTAGTGGCCAACCTGTCCTTTTTAATTTTAGACGCCAATGCAATGCAATGGCCCCGAATAGTGGCTTTATGGGCCTCCCATAGTACTGAGGTCTGTGAAACCGTGCCTTCATTTAGTTCAAAGTAGGAGCTAATAGCCTTCAGAATATCTTGCCTTGGAATCTCATCTTTAAGCATGCTATCGCTTAATCTCCAATGACATGTTTTGATCCGAGTGGGTTCCAATCTCAGGATCAGCTCAATCGAGGCATGATCCGACCATGAGATTACCCCCACATCCGCTGATTTCAGATTCCTCAGAACCGGGATATTCACTAAGAAATAATCTATTCTTGTGTGCGTGTGGTGTACCTGTGAGTAAAATGTGAAACGTTTCTCCGACGGATGGAGCACACGCCAGGAGTCCAGTAGGCGACGGAAATGTTGCGAGTTGTTTTCCGTGGCCTTCGGGGCTGTCTTCCCCATGGATCCCATGTGATCCATGATATTTGAGTATGGCAAGTTAAAATCTCCCCCAAGGATGAGATAGGTATGGTCCAGGGCTGTGATTGTATTTAAAATTTGAGTGAGAAACCGGATCTGTCCTGAGTTTGGGGCATATATATTGTATAAAGTAGTTGGAACACCCTGCCAATCTCCATGTAGGATTACGTACCTACCTCCTTTATCTGTGAGAATCTGATTGGGCAGAAAAGAACACGTATCCTTTAGTAGGATTACTACCCCTGCCTTTTTCTTAATGTGGGAGGCCGCGTATGCTCTAGGATATATGGAGAGCAAGAACTTAAACGTGTTTTGTGGGGTAAAGTGCGTTTCCTGTAGAAAAATGACGTCTGGATTATCATTCCTTAGTTCCCTGTATGCCATATTGCGTTTAACCCCTTCGTGACTGACGTCGCCAGCATCGGGGCTGTTTAAACAGACTCCCGGTGACTTTTGCCGCCGGGACTCTGTTTAAACTTGTAGAGCCGACTGTCGGCTTTACAACAGAAGCGATCCTGGCGACTTACCTGTCGCCAGATCGCTTCTGCGTCCCGAAGAAGGGCCCCCCCCCCCCCGCCGGACACCACCGCCGTGCTTCCCGGGCTCCGTTGCCCCTCCTACGGGCCCGGGACCGGCGATCTTGGTGTCCGCGGGGAGCTGGGGAGGAGGTC